AAAAAAAAAAAAAAAAAAAAAAAAAAAAAAAAAAGGAAGAAAAAATTCCCTGGCAGGCATTTTGGTTCTGTTTTCCTGGACTGACTTCCCCTGCCATCCTTCCTGTCCTGCTGAGTCCTGTGCAGGGATCCCCTGCACAGTCAGGACTGGGAATCACTTTTGGGTCTCGTCCTCAGGGAATCCCCTGCCCAGCTGGCTGCTGTTCAGCACTGAGGTCACAAGGCAGCACCCTGGAAGTTTCCGGGCCACAGTCCAGCCTCCCTGTGTGATAGAAATGGTATCCACAGCAATTTCTAGAGGTTTCTGTCTGGGTCCACAGAAGACCGGGACACAGAGAAGACAGCAGCTGTGGAAGGAGGTTGGGACCAGGTTCAGGAATAGTTTTTTAAAGAACATCCCAGGAAGCAGCAAAGTGGAGAGTCGAGAAATGTGAGGGACAGAGCCAGGAAGCAGAGCATCAGGGCCACCATCAGAGTTTGTGACAAGTCTCCTCCCCGCCTGGCTCAGCCCCATGCAGGAAAGTGATGCTGTGTCCACAGAGACCTGCAGAGGTCCCTGTGTCTGCCCATCAGAGCCCACTGTGGACCGCACAAGGGAAGATGCCAGAGAGTTGGGCGGCCTCGGTGCCCCCTTGCAGGATCCTGAGAAACAGGCTGGAGACTGATCCGATAGTCGTGGCATGGAGGATTAGAAGCAAGCAGCTCCAGGCCCAGTGTGGACGCCTAGGGTCTGTGCCTGCCCTGTGAGAGCCACATCAGAGCCAAGCCAGAAGCAATTTGCTATCTCAGGAAAGACCACGTCCAAAAAGCCTAGCGTGGGGGGAAAGGAAAGATGTGCACTGATGTGAAAGAGACGCTGTGTCAAAGGAAGTGTTTGTGTGCTGTTGTAGACGGTGACAGGAAAAGAGGAAAGAGTAAACATGAGTGAAGTAGGGTCAACAGAAGTCCTGCAGAGGGAAAGGCTAAGACTGGGAAAGGGGAGAGACAGTTAAAACTGCAGACTGAAGAGCTGGCCTGAAAGAGAGGGATGCCTTGTCCCCTGACACAGGCCCCAGTGCCTCAATTTACCTTGTGACCCCACTCCAGGTCCCCACCACAAAATGAGCTGCAAGGTGACTTCATTGTTTTGTTCACTATGTATTGAGAACCGACCATCTCCAAGGGCAGGAGTATGAGCCATCTATGGGTAAGACCAAGCCTGGCATGGTGACGCACGCCTGTAATCCCAACATTCTGGGAGGCTGATGCAGGAGGATACCATGTTCCGGCCCAGCCTTGGCAACTCAGAAACATAGCAAGATCCTGTCTCAACATCACATTTTTTTTAAATGTCAAAGGACAAAACCTAAACAGACTCTTTCTCTAAGGAATTGACCAGTGGTGAGGCTGCTGTGCGTGAACCTGGGTAATGGGAGCATGGTGTGGATGCATTTCAGTGCCTGCAGATTTCAGGGGAAGAGATTGCTGTAGAGAGGGAGGGCACGATGGGAAATTCAGAGGTGTCACAGTGTGGCATGGTGGCATGGACCACTTCCCTGACCATCCGGCCCCACGTAAACCTTGCTAGCAGGGAGAGCTGCCACCCACCTGCCGTCTCGTGGGTTTGCAGCCAGCTCCGAGGAGCACAGCATCCTGCTGTCGGGGCCAACACAGGCTCCATGTTCTCCCAGAGCTTGTACCCCAGGCCTCCCTGATCCAGCATCATAAGCGGACACAAATAAGCCAGAGCACCGTGACCCTGCTGGTCAGTGTACCCCGAGCCCCCTGAGGACAGCAGGCGGTGATCTCCTGCCCCACAGACAGTCCCTTCTGTCCCTTTCACCCTTGCTGATTTTTCCGGGAGAAAATGCCCGTACTGCTCCAGCTCCTTCCCTAAAGAAGAGTAAAGTGTTTCCTAAATGCAAAATCATTTGAACGCATTTCATTTACAAATAAGGTGTGGGCTTTCATGCTCACCACACTCTCCTACTGCTGTGTGTTCGCTGTGTTTTCGGGATGCCACGAGCCAGTGTCCACGCCGGCTGACCCAGGCGGCCTCATTCACCTAGGCCCAGTGATGGAACTCGGCGACACCCACTCTCCCTGCCCCAGCACGCCCCACTCCGCCTGCTGACCAGAGCACCATGGAAGCAGCCTCCTCTCTCTCCCCACGCGTGTCTTCCCGACCATGCCCATCCCAGACGTTCGTAGGACTGTGTGTCATGAACGAACCTGGCCTCTGTTGCAGTGATTGCTGAGTCTTGTGTTCTGAGCGGTTCCCCATTTTAACGCTGGGCTGTTTTCTTTGCCTCTCCTTGTCAAGTTCTTGCCATGCATGAAAATGTCCTCAAGTGTCCCACTCCGGGCTGCACAGGGCGAGGGCACGTGAATAGCAACAGGAACTCTCACAGAAGGTAAGCCACACGCCCCCCGCGCCACCCACCCCACGGGACCCCCTTGTTGCCCACGGAGACAGATAGACTCTGCCTATCGCATCTAAGGGACCTAGAGTGTGGCCGCAGTGTGCGGGGGGTGGGGGATCAAGGTTTAGATGCCCCTTTTTTTGCAGATTAGGCTTTCTTAGTCGTATCCCTGGCTCAGTCCTAGCAGGGTCACCCCTCCTCTTGAGGTGTAGATCTCAGAAGGAAACCGTGACCACTTAAAGGACTGGCCTGTCCTCCTCCACGGTGCAGGGGGCCATGCCGCTCCATATGCAGATGCGTGGCCAGAACCCTACAATTCTGTCTTCTGTCCTTGACCATCTGCAGAACCCCCAGGCCACCAGGACAGACATCACTAGAATGCTAGCAGATGTCCTGAGGTGTTGGTCAGGACTGAGTTGGGATCACTCTTACTGAGCAATTGCTGTCGGCACACGTATTCAGAATCGCTCTTTGGTTTATGACAAATCCCATCTCTCTCTTCCTGTCCACTTCAGACTTGGGGGAGAGACACTAAGTTCCGCCTAATATTCATTTCCTATCAGATACCTTGTCTTTTTCAGTAGCAGAAAAGTGATTCGGTTAAAATTGGGCTTGTAGCCTATGGCTTCATCTTCAAGCAAAATTTTATCTCCATGGAGAAACCTGTACAGTTTGAGTTTCACTTGTCTGGTCAGCTAGGTTCCTCGTGTTAAACTGATAATGAAACAAATCGCATCTCTGGGCCCCTCAGAGGGTTCTCTGGTGCTCAGTCTGCAGAGGCAGGAAATGACAGAGGTGCGAGCTGGCGCCACAGTACGTAACAATGTCCACTCTTCCCGTGAACTTCAGCTCTGCTGTGCATCTGTGAGCCGTGACGTGTGCACTCACGGGCTTCTGCTCCTGTCTGCAGACGCAGGCACAGCAAGTCCACGACTGCGTGAGAACACAGCTCAAACACGGAAGCCCTTCCCTGTCTCCTCTTCCATATCGCCCAACCTCAGCCCTTTTGTTTCAAAAACCACTTGCATCCTGGGAGATGAGTCCACTTCCTCCCCCACTCCCATTTCCCTTCTTGTGGACAGCACAAGAGCGTTGGAATCAGACAGACCCTCCGGAGCCTTGCAGGACGATGATGGTGTCTGCAAAATCAGCTTCCAGCGCCATCTTCTGGTGCCAAGTTGTTTGTTACCATTCTTAGACTCAGAATCCTTCAAATCCCATCCTGCCAAGCTGTTCACACTTCCTCTCCAGAAATGGCAAACATCTCAGAATGGAGACTCTCTCTCTCTCTCAGCTTGGCCTTCCTGAAAAGGATAGAGCGTACTTTATCCATGGTGTTGCCCTCAGCATTTTCTGCTGAAACTAAGAAAAAAAGCAAAGCAGAGACAGGACGGTTTTCATTCCCCTCACCTGCCAGGATGCCCTGTGCAGGTTTGCAAAGCCCTTCTGTGCTGGCGGGGGGAAAGATGTAGTGGTTGTGTGCCTGTGTCGGGACTCATCCAGAACAGACCATTAAAGCCCCTTTCTGTGATTGCAGCCTCTCTGGATGCCCTATTGCTGCAGCAGAGAAATTGGCAAAAGCCCAAGAAAAACACCAGAGCTGTGATGTGTCTAAGTCCAACCAGGCCTCGGACCGAGTCCTCAGGTACCAAACAGAGCATGTTCTTCATGGGGGTCCAGTTGTAATCGCCCCAAACACGCTGGGTACTTGGGACTTCCTGGGAGGTGGCTGTGCCCAGTGAAGGACAGGAAGGACAGGGATAGCTGTGTACGAGCTCCAGGCCAGCTCTCCATTCTGTCCTCCAGTGCCCGGTATGACGTCGACACGCAAGAACTGGGCACGATGGTGCCTGGCTTTCTCTCTGGCTTGATAGTTCATAATTCTGTGAGTGGCTGTGAAAATTAATCAGATGCCCAAAGTCATTTTGCATGAGTCTGGAGGGAGTGACGCCCCCCAGAGGATGGTGCTGCTGTTTTCAGAAGGGTCACAGTGACGGGGGCCCAGCTTGTGTGCACATGGGAGCTTCACGTAGGATCAACTCAGGGCCGCCGCCTCCCACACCCCAGGACGCGGGCGGATGTAGATGTCACCACTGCTGCTTGACATGCAGGACAACCTTGAGTGCGGAGGGGCTCAGTGACGTACATGGGGTCACCGAGTCACAGCACATTTGGGATCATTCTTACTGAGCTATGGCTGTCGGCACACATATTCAGGAGTGGCCTAAGGGCCAGTGGCTGAGCCAGTATTTGTATATTTTTTTAGTCTCTGTTTTTGCGATACTGGAGTCTTCCTACTGAGCTACATCCCGAACCCCTTTTCTTTTCTTTTTCATTTTTTTGTTTTTAGACAGGGTCTCACTAAATTGTGCAGTGATCTTCCTGCCTCAGCCTCCCAGAGTGCTGAGAATACAGGTGTGCACCGCCACTCCCCGCTGAACCCAAAGCTTCTTCCGGTTTGGGAACAGATGACTGTTAGGGCGTGTGGCAGAGGAGGAAATCTGTGTTTCCATAACCTTCTCCTGCAAACCACTGTCACCAGGAGCACTGTGACAATCACTGCACACTCCGCCTTTTTATTTGGTGTCCCGGCCCCCTGTACACTAGCCACAGCTACCAACATAACCACCCGTGTATTCAGCGCTAGATTCGCACCTCTTACTGTTAACGAGTGGGCATTTTCCACAGATAAACAGCATTTGGCTTTGACTAAATCGCTTCTCTGGGATAAGTCATATGGAGAAAGTCACCAGGGAAGTGATGTATATGAAGATAGATATATCAACATATATTAACATCTTTTTGATTCCTGATTTCTTATAGGATCTCAACATACTGATTAAAGTTCTTTCTTATTTTCCACAGATAAACAGCATTTGGCTTTGACTAAATCGCTTCTCTGGGATAAGTCATATGGAGAAAGTCACCAGGGAAGTGATGTATATGAAGATAGATATATCAACATATATTAACATCTTTTTGATTCCTGATTTCTTATAGGATCTCAACATACTGATTAAACTTCTTTCTCCTCCAATAGAAAAGGCAAAATGCCTTTTAGAAAATTGCAAGTATCTAGTTAACAAAAAAAAAATAGAAACATCTATGATCCCACCATTCCAAGATAACCCCCCTGTAACTTTTGATTTTTTTCTACCGATGGGTGACAACAATTTATAGACCCTGGAGTGTACCTGTCCCCTAGTCTTACCTTGCCTGTGACTTACTCATTTTACAGAACTGCAGGCTGAAGTTCGAGCACCTCCTGTGTCTCCTCCCAACCCACAGTTAGGTATGGGCAACATGAAGAAAGCCCCTTCTTCCAACTGAAAGGCCCTCCGTGTCATGTAATTCAAGAAGCAATGGTCATTTGCCAAAGGAAATTGAAAATTGGTGGGGGAAATTAGTAGCTGGAAAAACTTAATCCTTTTCTTTTGCCTACTTTGGCCAAAGCCAAAGATCCCTGGGAATGGCCCATCTTGGGGTCACCAGGACCATGCCGTGAGGAAGGCGTGGGTCAGTACTAAGCTTAGACCTCACTGAGAAGCTGGTGGCAGCTTGGGACCAAGGAGATGGCCCTGTAATTGCAAATATCTATCACCTTGTTCGAACCCAAGCCTCCACTCTGATACCCAGGCCAGAGCAGCTGCCTCTCTTGTTTCTGCAGCTTTATCCCTTGGGCAGATGCAGCAGAATGCTACACTAGTGCCAATAATAATTGTGCATCCGTGACCAGTTTTCTTTATAAGGCCCTGGCTAGTTGGGGCAGGGCCCTCGACGGAAAGAGAAAGACCTGGTCCCACTGCCCCGAGGACCAGGGCTACAGTGATGACTGGCCACTGCCGCCTTGGGCTTGCCCTGGAGGTCCTGGACCACAGGGCAGAGGTGTTAGCCTTGCCTTTAAGGCTCTAGCAAGCTCCCTACACACCAAGGACTCACCTGGAGGACAGTAGTCTGTCCAGGTACCTGTGTCCCACCCTCGTCTCATCCAGTGGCATAAAGAGACAGGAAGGAAGGAAAGAGAAAGAAAATTAAACATTTAACTGGTTAAGGTTGTTTTTTTGTTTTTTTGTTTTTAAGCCTTAAGTAAATTGTCCAGCAGGAACCTAAGAACCAAGAAGAGCTTAGGGTCCTGTGGCTCTCTAGAACCCCCTCTGAGCAGCCTGGGTGCAGCCTCTCTTCCTCTTCCTGCTGTCTGGGTCCCCTCCTGCTCCCTCCCTCTCTTGGCTTGCACCCTGACTTTGGCTTGCAAGTGACTAGGCCAGGCCTCCAGCCCCTGAGCTGGTCCAAGGTCCCACACACAAAGGCTCTCTGAGCCTCCTGATGTCTCCCCTCCAGACTCTGCAGGTGCTTTCCTGCAGCAGTCCTCACCCCACCCTGGGTCTCTTGGGATCTGCCTGCTCTGCAGTGCCCCTTCAAGCCTTCCCTCCCCATCCCTACTGTCCGGCCCCATAGCATGGTAACCTCCAGAATCCTCAGAACACTTGGACTCAAAATACCCTCGCATCCCACCCGACCTCTCCAGGCAAGGCCTACAGCTTTTCTCATCTATGTGCCCCACATTGCCATGAATGCCCCCAACGCACACAGCCAAGCAGTTGTCACATCATTTTGTTGCTTCGGCCAGAAGTGAATAGAATAAGTTAGGTTGGAAATCTGATTTATAAAGGTAGTATAGACGTGCTATTAAACATGTAATAGATGACTTACTTTCCTGGTTGAGAAATTCAGTTACGCACACCTATCATCCCAGCACTCAGGAGGCTGAGGCAGGAGGATCACTGCAAGTCTGAGACCAACCTGAGTTACACAGTGATTCAAGGCCGGTGTGAACTATAGTGAGACTCTGTCCCCACCCCACCCCCCAAAAAAAACTGAGTAAATAAATAATAAACGATTCAGTTATAAAAATTTGCAACTACTCAAAAGACCAGTATAAACATAAAATAGCCAGAGAAGAAATAGATTATGTACATAGATGTATATAAAGCCACAATTTATAGAAGTGAAAAAAATTATGAAAGTTAGAGAATAAATAGTATGATATTCATAGATTTTAATAGCACACAGTTATTAAGAACTGGTTTTGAAGCCTAAGCAACAAAAAGTAAAATTAAATGTTTTATATATATAAATTGTGAAATTCTATTTGCATAAATAATAAGTGCATTAAATTAACCAGAAAAGATACACAAAACTCTTGACAGCTTTTAATCCCCGAAAGAATTAGAGGTGATTTTTAATAGTTTTTATATTTCCATCTGTTTTTTCAATGAAGAATGTATTCATAACTTTCATAATTATAAAAGGCTTTTATCCCCAGGTTAGGTATAGCTGTGCTCAGAGATGCACAGAGAACATGTATTTACCAAGACTCACAGAAATCCCCAGGAAAGATTTCTTTGGAAAGGAACAGCCTGGATCCTCCAGGGTCACCGTCCTGGGTTCCCCGGGCAGAATGTCCCTTAGACTATCTGTTCCATAGTACACACCACTCCTGTGGAATCCTGCTCTGCTACAGCCCCACCCCTTGTTCTTGAGATACAGCAATATTTCCAGATCTGGTACTACGGATCAAGAAACAGAATCTAACTGCATGTGGTAGCACCTGCCTGTCATTCCAGCACTCTTGAGAGGCAGAGGCAGGAGGGTGGCAAATTCCAGCCCAGCCTGAGCAACTTAATGACTTAGCAAGACCCTATCTGAAAAAAAAAAAAAAAATGTTGGTGTCATAGCTCAGTGGGAAGGTTCAATCCCCAGTACTTCTTTTAAAACTCTAAAAGAAAAGAAATAGAATCTTACTCAAAAAATTGTTATTCACAAATTAAGCATGAACCCACCACTTATGCCTAAATTCACGTACTTTGTTTTCTCAGCCTTTCTTGGGTCTTTATTTTTAATCCATTTTATATATCAGAAAGAAAGGATTATGAAGAAATACTGTCCATGAAATTCAGAGGGGTTTTTGTACTAGTTACAGTATTTTTTAAATGTTGCCTATGTAAAAACACAAGTATTTTTATACACATTTTACCTTTCAAAAGTTAAAAATGAATGAGTGGCCCTCAGAACTCATGTTTAAATATCCATCTGTACCTGTGGTATGAAATAGAAGGTGAAAGCTGGGCGTGGTAGTGCACGCCTGTAATCCTAGCACTTAGGAAGCTGAGGCAGGAGGATTGCTGTGAGTCCGAGACCAGCCTGGGCTACATAGTGAGTTCTAGGTCAATCTCAACTACATAGTGAGACCCTGTCTCAAAAAAAAAAAAAGAAAAAGAAAAAGAAAAGAAAGAGAAGGCGAGATAAGCAGAGGGAACCTTTTGCAAACTTCTAAATCTAAAACAATCTCAAAAACTCTGAGATTGGCACTTTTAGGGAGGTACCCTAAAAACCCACACATGTGCACACACAGCAAGACAGAATGTCATGAAGAAATAATCAAATGTTAGGTCAGGTGTGGTGGTGCATGCCTGTAACCCCAGTACTTGGGAGGCTGAGGCAGGATTGCCATGAGTTTGAGACCAGCCTGAGCTATGTAGTGAGACCCTGTCTCCAAAAAAAAAAATTCTTTGAAATAATCAAATGCTCCTCTCTTTTAACATTTTATCCCAAAGTATAAAATAAATAGCTAGTAAGTGAAAATGTGGAAAATAAATACAAATATTTAGCAAAATGCTTTACTACCATCCCAGTTGAGTGTCCAACTGAATAAAGCATGATACACTTTTGTCTCGATGCCCCTACAACTGTTTATCTATTTCTTGTTGTTGTTGCTGTTGTTTTCAGTACTAGTAATTAAAACCAGGGCCTTGGAACTGAGCAGCATCCGCAGCCCCTTTTTATTTTTTGTTTTGAGATGGGGTCTCACTAAGTTGTTAAACTGCCCAGGCTGGGCTTGAACTTGCAATCCTCCTGCCTCAGCCTCCCAGACCACCGGGGTGACAGATGTGCATCACCACAGAGTCAAGGGACCTTTCTCTTTAGCTCACATCATTTGTGTGTGATTCTGTGAGTCATAACTGCTATACAGAGACTACACGGCTGTCAGATTCTCTCCGACCTCAGATCTCCTACTTCCACCAGACCCATCATAACCCTTTTACAAGAAAAGCAAAGAGAGAGGGCAATTCAAGTATTCTGTTTCTCACTCTTTTCAGCTCATAGGGTTGTTTGGGGCTGTAGAACTAAAACACACTTGGGTCTTTCCTCGGGAAAAGGAAGATGCTTCAGTGAAAGGTCCTGATCTCTTGAAACACATTAGGAAAGCAGGGTGTTGATGTGGCCATGATTCACGGTGGGCGTGCAGCAGGGAGAGGGTGAGCTGTTGTTGTTGTCTTGTCTGTTCCAGGCCCATGTGCTTTGTGAAGCAGCTGGAGATTCCCCAGTATGGCTACAGAAACAATGTCCCCACCACCACGCCACGCTCCAACCTGGCCAAAGAGCTTGAGAAATACTCCAAGACTTCATTTGAGTACAACAGCTTTGACAACCATACTTATGGCAAGAGAGCCATAGCTCCCAAGGTGCAAACCAGGGACATGTCCCCCAAAGGATATGATGACGGTAGGAGGTGCATACTCTTATACATGAGACACAGTTCCGTTGATGTTCTTATTGTGTCGGTCCATGTCCCGCACACCGGCCCAGCATGCATGGCCACAGGCACAGGGTGACCCCGGGAGCCACACGGGGTAGGTGGACGGGGAGGAGGGGCAGTGCTCTGCAGGGACTCACAGGCCATCTGCGCTGACTGTGTTCAGGGCCCAGAGAGAAGCTGCCAGCTCACTGTGTGCAGTGGGGTGGGCGAGACGATGGCTTCCTCTTCATAAATGTGGGGAAGCAGTTCTGGGCTCTTTCAGTAACTCCATATCCTGCACCACTATTTCCCTGGGGTGCCCATTAGAATCACCTGGGAGACGGTTTTTTCTCACGCTCAAACGCCCAGGCTGCACCCAGACAGACCAAGTGGGGACCTCTGTGGTGTCCCCATGTTGTGGCTTAAGATGCTTCCAGTGGCTCTGATATGCAGGCTGGGCCCCCAGCCCCACCTGGCCAGCCTCTCAGCAAGCCAGACCCGCGAACCCTCTCTCTCTGGGAAGACAGGTGGAAGGAAAGCCCGCCTAGGTGTGCAGCCACCTGGTCCTGGAGTCACCAGTCACTTGCTACTGTCCCAAAACAGATGCCACAAGTGACCTGCCACCTGCTTCCCGGGACAAGGTGGCTGCTTTTCCCTTCGCACCCTCTTGTCCCACTGCTAGGTGTAAATAGTGACATCTCCTTCCTCAGCTAACCTGGTAAGTAGTTTACCACTGAGGCCAAGACCATAGTTACCTAAGCCAGTAGCTGCTTCAAATTCCAAGATATGGGCTTAGCCACAAAATTCTAACCATTGGATTGGGGGTTTGAAAAGTTCTGGTGAGTTTAAAGTCTCGTCTTGATGCAGAGGGAAGGAAATTTGTTTTTAAAGATTTGGGGAGCTCCTCTCTGAAAAAGACATTTTAGTAAAATCGCAAGCACACACGAAAAAATATCTAAATGGAAAGCTTAGAGGATTTTTTCTCAGGATTCCACAGGAATGGCAGACCTTCCTGAGCTGTGTCATTTCCTATCTAACAATTCATTTTGTATAGTGAATGAAATTTAATATCTCTTTGGTGTGTCCCATATTAATTATCCTTGTGCATCGACTCTTAAATATTCAGAAACATAAAATGAAAAAAAAAAAAGAAATGGCCGTAGGGTATAATTTTTCTTTTATTTTGCCACTTGGTAACACTTACCTGCCAGTTTCAGATTTTACTCTCACTTTGTTCCTTCAACTGCAAGAGAAAGATCTAAAAGAAGTAAAGATTCCACTCACATAATTTCCCCTCCATTGGCATTTGTGACTCCATTCGTTCCTTCTTTAGATGTTCCTTCTCATACACCTATTTCGTGGTGGTTCTGGGTGGCCTGAATTCTTTAATCTTCTTGTATGGTTGGAGTCTAACCTTAGAAGCCAAGGGAGGAGGGTCCCATGTAAGGTTGCCCTGGCTAGAGTGTCTCTCAGGGCTGCTACGCCTCAGGGAGCTAAAGTCTATGCAGGACATCCAGCCACGGTGAGCTCTGTGTCCACCCCTGAGCATCCCACTGGAGAATTTCCAGTCTTCCTGCCAGACTGCAAGCTCCTGGCAGACCAGAGACACTGTCCTTAGAGTCCCCAGCTCCACTCTGCAGGGCAGGCCAGGCAGAGAGTAGCTCCGCCACAAGGGCTCTGACTGAGGGACAGAAATCAAGCCCCTATGATACTGTCTACATGGCAGGCCTCAGCTCACAGGATATCTTCGCTCATTGCTTGGACAGAATACCTGATACCCACAGTCCATAGTTGGCTGGCTCCAAGGCAGAGGGCCCTGGCAGAGGAGAGCTGCTCATGGCGTAGTGGACAGGAAGTGGAGCGAAAGAAGGACTGGGGGAGGAGATAAGTCTTTCCAGGCCACACCCACAGTGGCTGCCTCTTCCCACCTGGCCCCACTTCCTGAAAGCAAGTCCGCTGTAAGCTCCACAATCCCATCACCTTCCCAAAGCTCTACCTCTGAGCTCACGAGGCGAGTGCACAGGAAGCAGACACTGCCGGGACAATTTTACCAGCAGGATGGGCCAACAGCAAGGTTATGGCTGGAAGCCTTGCGTTTGTATTGGTTTTTCATTTTTAATTGGAATGCGCAGCCACATCTAGCCCTAAGGACCCATGGTGTGTCTCTCCTCCAGCAGGCAGGAATAGGGTGCTAGAGGAGGTGGCCTCGGTGTAGCTACTCGTGCTGGCAAACACCCGTGGCCTCTGGAGGAAAACTGGTCACTTTTCTCATGATCCCTGCTTTCGGCAGGACATCTGGGTCATTAGTGGGTGCTGACCTGCTCGTTGCTGGCAAAGCAACTTGGCTTAAGGGCGTGTGTCACTGTTCAGTTGTTCTCAGCTGGGGCCGGGTCCCTCCTGGGGGAGAGGTGACGGCGGCCACACCAGCCTGATGTCCACTGCTCTACTGGGTCAGCACCAGTACCCAGAGCACTGCTAAGTTCAGCCAAATGATACTGACATCATCAGCTTTGCAAACATTTAGGAACAGGCGGTGTTTTTATGCTCCTTCCTTCTCCAGACCATTTAAAGTGTAGACACTGTTGTTTTCATTTCAAATAAAACCAAAAACAAATGCTCATTTGCACTTTGGAAAAGGACAGAGATGGAGGTCAATATCGTCAGGGTCGCTTGCCTGACAAGTCACCAGGGCCCTGAGGGTTCAGTCTCCAGCCGGGGACCTGTACTGGCCCCCGGTGTGCTCCGGACCCCGCATCTGTTTGGGGAAGTCGAGTCATGGTTATGTTTACATTTTATAACCGCAGGGTAATTTAAAGTAATCTGCATAGGATGAGAGGAAGAATCCTTTTTCAAGATTCGCTTTAGTAAAATGTTGTCCCACCGAGCAGTCTGCACCTCCACCATAGCCCAGGCTCTGCCTCTGGGCTTCGTCCTGGGCCCCCACCTGTCCACAGACCCAAGGTGTGGCTTCCACAGGTTAACCAATCAACATTCACTCATTTCAAAACAAAACATCGCTTTTCTTATCCATGTGGACAGTTTCTCTCCTTTTTTTTTTTTTCCTGAACCCCTGGCTAGTCTTAAAAACAAACCAGTTAAAAATAAACACAAAAGCCCCCACCCACCCCAATGTGAATTAGTTCACTTCTCCGGCATCCGCGCTCCTATTTTTAACAAATTTAAAGTGATAGCAAATTCATAAACTTTAGTGCAGGGCACCCCAAGGCACCATGGGCAGTGACACAGAGAGGCTGCGGTGCCCACTGTCAGGTGACTGGCGTCCCTCTGCCCTGCTCCCGAGGGGCCCGGGGCAGTGTAGCTCAGAGGCCTGGCATGGGCTGTGCTCGGACCTGTGGCCCCTGTCCACCCTGCGCTATACGGCTCTGCGTACAAA